AATGTGGACACTGGAAAAAATAGCTCTGTCTAACCAGAGCTGTTCCAGGTCTGGACCAGAACCTGAGTCGAAGCTCAGAAGAGACTCCGCATGGACTGGTTCTCTATGGAAAGTTACTGGTCTCTTTTAGGGGAGTCTGAGATTGTGAGACAGGGAAGGAACCCTGAGCCATTTTTGTAAAGTATATTTTATTGATTATGCCATTACAGTTGTCCCATTTTTTCTCCCCTTTATTCCCCTCTGCGCTCCCTTTCCCCTCCCACCGGCATTACCCCCACTCCCTTAGTCCGTATCCATGGGTCGTACATATAGGTTCTTCGGCTTCTCCATTTCCCATACTATTCTTAACCTCCCCCTGTCTATTTTGTACCTACCGTTTTGCTTCTTATTCCCTGTACCTTTCCCCCGCATTCTCCCTGCAGATGACCCTCCATGTGATCTCCATTTCTGTGATTCTGTCCCTGTTCTAGTTGTTTGCTTAGTTTGTGTTTGTTTTTATTTTTGTTTTAGGTTTAGTTGTTGATAGTTGTGAGTTTATAAGCAGTCCCAACACAGGGCTAGATGAAGTGGCTTGGTTTTTTTTTTTCTTTTAAACCATTTAATTAGCTTTGACTTTTTGAAAACCAATGACTTTGAACAAGCTGAAATGCCAACCTCACGCATGTATCCTGTGCTTCCAACTAATATCCAGCCCCAGTCTCTCACCATAGCTGGGAGCAAGGAGACTCTTCTGAAATCTCGGCTGATACGCCGGCCCTGAAAGCTTGCTCTGCTTTTTATGCATTTCTAGGAAAGTTTCAGACGTGCTGTGATATACATACCCAGCTCCGTGAGGTCCTCCTCAGCCTCTGTATCTGTCTCTAAGTATGTTCAGGTCAGGGGAAGACATCTGAACTCAAATGTCCATGGCTCCCTAAATGTCCATGGTCACTCTTTAAATACGTGTGCCCCCATGAAATGTAGTGTGACGCACCGGCCGACCCCTCGGGGAGGCAAGAAAGTGGATTCTCCCTCCAGAGCGCAGCCTGATGCGCAGGGCGGAGCCGCATTCCAACCCCACAGTCCGAGTGGTTCACGTGTCTTTTTGGGGTGGGTTAAACACATCTCTCAGAAAGTTTGTTTTCAAGGGCTTATAGTGTTGTGACACAAAGCAGTGAATTCCCACAAATGCCATCTGAACACATGGCAGGCATTAAAAAAAATGATGATGGAATCAACAGGGAATTTATTATCATGTGAAATTTTTAAAATGCCCACATTGGTTCATTTTATTCTGGTCATTTAAAAAATGGAGGTTTTTCTTGTTTGGGACTTCGAACTTTTCTAAACCTCTGAGCCTCCTTTATTCTGTTACTAGCCCTCACTGGTTTAGGGTGATACCCCCTCGAACCCTAACCGGGGAGTGTGACCTGCTGTCGGGAAGCGGGGCCACATACACTGCTCTCGCCATCGCATTCCTTTTACAATTTACAGCTTTATTCGTCGGTCCTTCTTTCAACCTGAAATGTTCATGCTTCTTTATTTGTGGTTAATGATGCCCAATTAAGCTTTCTTCTTTCTCTACTGGATTCTCGGAATTGTCCCAAGTTTTAGGGGGAAAAAATTGATTAGCCCCATTTCTCCTGGTGTCCCCTGAGCCCTGTGCTTGAATACAATGAGGTCACTTTGTTGAAGGATTAACTTTATATTACATTCTTGCAGGGTAGATGTATGTCCCTAAGGTACAACTACCCCCACTGATGAAATAAATATACCATTCTTTATGATTCCTCCCTGTTACCTTCTCTGTTGATTTTCAGAGAGTTTATGAATAGTCACATATTTATACAACTGGCCAAAAGTATACTACTTATTTTTCTTATGGTCTGTAATAACCTATGCAAGGTTATTAAAGGGTATACAGACCCCTTTTAAGACATAGTTTCTTATGTCATTACTTTATACAAGCAGGTCAAATTCCATCTTGGCAATAATCTCTTGCTCCTAACCTTTTTCTTTGATTATAAAAGTCATATATGTTCATTGTGGAAAATGTAGAGAATGCACAGCACAAAGAGGAGGAAGAAAAAGCATTTTAAGGCCCTCTTTTAGAAATAACTACGGTTAGGCAGTTTCGACAAAGACACATTTTCTTTGGTCTCTGTATGTTTGTTTTTTTAAGAAGTGACCATATTGTATGTGTGTTCCTGTGAGCTGCTTTTTAACCTCGCCGTGTATTATGTCAGCAAATACTTGGTCCCCTGTGGTGTTGCTTTTGAGGCCTGCATCATACTCCATCGACAGTTCATCTGTGTTTGGGGTTTTCTTTAAAGAATCTTTATCAGATGCTTGCTCCCACTCAGTAACTGGTTTAATTTTTTTCTGTAGTCAATAGTCAGCAAAGTCATCAGACACCTTTGAATTGAGAGCAACGGGCTTTGTCTTGAATATCTTTAGTGTTATCTTTGTGTACAGCACTGGACAATTGCATTGGGATATTCAGTGCCTAAATTGAGGGAGATTAACATATTTAAAGATATGAGCACAGAGCAAGCCACAAAGGCATGGGAAATAAAAGCCTTTCTTTTACTATCTGCAATATTTTCCCCAACATAGTATACTTCCACAGAGTAGATGCTTATTTTTCTTTGAATAATGAGTTTAATATATCTAATTCAATTATTCTTTGTGTCAGCAGAATGGCTTCTCCTCAGCTCTTTGGCTGTTCCATATGATATTTCAATCAGTTCTTTTAATTGCATGTATTAAGTGTCAGTCATTCTGCTGTGTGTTGGCCAAATGGCCAGAGAAACACAACCCCCCTTCCCATACATCAGACAGTCATTCAATTAGCAACCACGGTTCTTTGACACAGTAGGATGAATTCATGATGCAGGCAACTGAAGGGGTGGGTCAGCAATTCCAATTTTATTTGTGGCTTAGACTGAAAAATAAAGCCAGGAATTGAAGATTTCAAGATGCTAAATTATGTCTTCAGATATTAAAATGATGCATTTAATTGTCTAAAGCTATTTTTATGGCTAAACTTCTTCGTTGGCAATTTGTATGACGGGCGGGGGAAGGACGTGATGTAGAATGAACCCAGGTGCTCGCTCCTATCGCCCGCCTGCATTTCTCGACGAAATTCCCTGTGTTTTACGAGTAACAGCTTCCCTGCACAAAGACTCCTATGACTTTTTCCCTACGAGTCTAATTTGAAAAAAGAATTCTTCTCAAGGGTTTAGAAAGTAATCATAAAACGAGAGGAATAATAAATATTGTGCCTTAACGCATAGACTGGCATAGATAGAAAGATTGGTACACCTGGGTGTAATTTTAGTTAATAACCATAAGAGACAGGTTGAAAGTCGGCTGTTTTGGAGGGGGCGGGCATGGCTACATCTCATATTTGCAAAAATGATTACATTATCTGAAATGAAAATGCTATTCTATTAACAATTTCAATAAGCATTGCATTTGGGGGAAAAATCTTTTTAATAAAAAGTTCCCTAAGTTCACTCTAACTTAAAATATACAAGTGAGGAAAAAGTACTTACTCTGATTTATGTGTCTTTTGGAGGTGTAATTATTGGCTTTTTACTCACCTATGTAAAACAATGTACTTTTGTAAATGGATTTCTGGCCACTTTGTGCAGACTTCTCCCCCACCCCCTATTTTTTTTTCTTACATAAAAAGTAAGCACTGTCAATCAAGGAATTTTAAGGTTTATTTCCTCTTTAGAAATGATTGATAGCCTTTTAGATTTACAAGTTGACAAGTTAAAGGGTTCTATTGGTATAATTATGTACTAAATTCACAGTCTTTCAATTTAAATGTCCTTTTAAAACCACGAGATTATCATACCTGTATTTTGAAAAGTGGGCCAGTCAGTTTGGGTTGGTATACAAATTGCTTCCATTAGCCTTGGGACCTATTTGAATTTAATACGGTTTTTTAAAGTTAGCAGTAGTATGAATCTTACTTTTAAAATTTAGGTTAATGGAAAGTCATTTTAAGTAAAGCATGTGGCAACTTGTTTTCTAATGTATAGCGGAATCTCAGAACTACAAAGACTGTCTTTTTTATTCAGTATGGGAGAGGATATGTGGTTGACTGAAAAAGAAAAGAACCCACCCACCACCCATTACTGGGAAGATAGCAGGGGAATGGGTGGAGGACGGAGCCGCCATCTTCTCCTGACGGGGGAGGAAGGATGGAGGCATTTTACGTCCTGGGGAGGAAATTGGAGAATGACAGACCAGAGTCCGCTTTGTGTTGTGTTTGCGTTAAGGCGGCTTTGAGGAGGGTGTAGTCAATGGAAGTATAACAAGGCCCATTGTCTCCAAATATTATTCCAGGTTTGCTCTTTGGTCTTTTCCAGGATTCCTGGAGCCCCCGCTGCTCTTAGCTAGTGCTCCATAGAGGCTGGTCTTTTTCCTGAAATAATACTGATGTCAGGAATTGGTCTGTCATTTTAGATGCGAGGGTGTTGTATCAAGGTCATTTTCAGGGCTCAGCTCTTTGCCCCTCACCGCACTCTTGCAGGCTTAATTGCCATGGAAGGCACTGAGATATTAGTATATCAGCTGAGGTCCACAAGAGATTTGGCAACAAAGCAAGTACTTTCAACTCTCCTGCTTTTTAGAATCTATAGATACTCTTGGACAAGCGCTTGAGCATTTTGACCTCTGCTTTTGACTGAAGTGGACCCTAAAGCCTCTATTAGATACCACTTTACTTTCTATTTTCAGTAATGTCAGGAGTATAAAATTGGGCCAGAAGAGCTGAGTTCAAGACCTGCTACTACGTGGTCTTTTGAGCGAGTCGCTCTCTGCCATGGTCAGTAGCAGAAGTCAGGTGGTGGAGATGTCCAGCAAAAGATACATTCATCTGGTCATTTCATCTGATTCAAAGGTTATCGATCACGCTTTCGACTTCCCTGTTACGTCTGCACCATCAGTGTTGCGAATCACATTCTGTTCCCTGAAACCGTTCTAATCGTGTGGCTTCTCCATTGCAGCGCTCAACGAGCCCACCATCGACTATGGTTTCCAGAGGTTACAGAAGGTCATTCCCCGGCACCCTGGAGATCCTGAGCGTTTGCCAAAGGTGAGGGCGCCTCTTCTCTGGGTCGCGGTCTCTGGCAACTTGGGCTTGGGTGATTGTCACGGGGTTCTGCCGCTGATAAAAATGAGTTCATAGATGAGCAACTCAGTATTTTTGTTCTTCGTATGCTCGGTACTATAAGGTAAGTGATAATGAAAGCAGTAAACACTTACACTGTGCCAGGTAATATCGCACTTATTTTTACGCACTTGATGTCATTTCTACCTCTCAAAAAACCCTCCGAGGCTGGTACTATTACTATCTCTGTCTCAGAGATGATGGAAATAATCAAGCAAAGAGGGGTTAAATCATTTGCCCAAGGTCCCACAGTATGTAAATTGCTAAACTGAGATTCACACTTATATGGTCTGGCTCCAAAATCCAGATTACTAATCACTGCATCATCCCAGTTCTCAAGAGGAAAAAGAACACTGCTTTTCTGCCTGCACAAAAATGAGTCCTCATCCCTGGTAAGGGGAGAACAAAAGGGAACATGTTGGTAGATCTTGCATCTGGAGAAACAAGACAGCACTTCTGCCCTCTAGAGCCATCCCGCCTAACTGGGAGACAAGGTGAGAACCGAAACCAAAGTTCAAGGCAGAGCAGCACGTGCCACACAGCAAGTGCGTCGTTAATTAACTGCCAATGCGGAGAGGAGGGAAGTCTCATTGCTGCCTTCTGTTCTGCACCTGTTGCCCGTGTTGGGGCCATCCCCATCTCTGTTCCGAAGGGGCGCGGGCCCCGTGTGGGGGAGACCACCAGACCCAGCACCACACATAACAGGAAGGACGGTGCATTTAACCCAAGTGTGGTGAGGACCCAGAGGTGAGGACAGTGCAGTGCTGAGGGGGTGTGGACTACAGAGTTAGTGGAGCTACCATTCACAGTTTACTGACAGCAAATTGAAATTTCCTTCTCTACATACGTGGAAACTATTAGAAATCGAATGAGTAGAAGAGAGTCCCTCTCTTTGCTAAAGCATGTCTAGAGATAGGTCTGTCTCTCCTCCTTAAGCACTTGTGAAATGAAGCTGGCCTCCTTCCTGGATCAGCTGACCTCCTTGGGAGATCAGTTCATCATCCAATTCTACTTCTGCGCCCGCCACCCCGGGAGGCAGAGCCGCCTGTCGGAACAGGCCTGGTGCAGGAGGCAGCAGAGAGGCTGAGGGGCAGGGTGTGTGGGGGGCACTGCTGCCCAGAGACAGGAAGGACCGTGACAAGCATCTGCGTCCGCCTTCCACCTAGACCCCAGGGAAAGAACCACAGCCTTCGGTCCCCACCCTCGGCTTCCCAGAGCAGCCTCGCTCCCACTGAGCGCTGTTCACCTTGGTAAACACTTCTCGGAAGCATGTCACCTGAGGGAGAAATCGGATGGTGTGTCGGTCTGCTCAGATCCTTGGCTTGGGCAGGGGCCTCCGTCTTTACACCTCACTCCCTTCCACCTTGCTTTATTCTTGGCGAGTAACGAGATAATCTGAGGGTAAGAGTGAATGGCAGTCTGCCCCCATAGCGAAGCTGTGCAGTGGGAGGATTTGTACCTTTGGGCTCTCTGTCTACACGGAGCCTGACTCTCGTGCCTTTCCTCTGGGGCAGCCACTGGCCATTTCACTGGCAATTTTATAGCACAGTGACATAAGTAGTGTGTGTGTCCCCCCAAGGACAGTGCCTTACGTGTCTCAGCAGCAGGAAGAAAGTGTGGGTGCAATGCCAGATCCTTCCCATTGTTTCCATCTGGGGTGTCTTCACTTGACTTCTGACATTTGCCGTCACTGGAGCCTGTGGAAGGGACTGCAGGGGGCAGACCGGGTGGGCGGCACTCAGAGCGAAGGCAGTGGCTCGCTCTGCAATCAGGGTCAGAATTCTTTTCTTAAAAAAAGTTAGGCAAAATTCTTTAGCTCTCTTGTACCTCAGTTCCCTTCTCTGTCAAATGGAAATGGTAATATTTCCTACTTTGGGGGTCGCCAGTGACTTAGCCTTTAACAGAAGGTAGCTGCGATTGCGTCCTGATGCGTTGGAGTGGGACTCTGGCTTCTGTGACCTCTTCCCTCCCAGCTCAGCAGAGCAGGGCGTTCTCATCCTGGCGATCAGTTGAGTGCATGGTTTATCGTCCGTGCCTCAGTTTCTTCATCTGGGAGTTAAGGACATAATCATGCCTGCTTCATGGGGGTCACCCAAGGGTCAGAGGTAATCCTGTGGGTGCCTCAGCATAGTGTCCACCTACGGCTGCCACACGATGAACGATTACTGAAAAATAGGGAACAAATCAGGTTTCACCTGGGCGAGGTCTAAAGAAGCCAGGCAGTCCTTTGCTTCTCTATAAAGAAAGGAGACAAGTGGGAATGTAGGCTTGAGTGTTGTGTGCTTTCTTCTAAAGCCATTTTTGCGGCTGCACACCACGTTTAGAAACGTTGGACAAATAGCCCAGGCACGTGTGGCTTCTTCCCCGGTGGCCTGATGGTGAAGTTCCCAGCCCCTTTGTCCTGGGTTTGGGATGGGTAATCAAGGCCACGATGGGCTTGTGTGTTAAGGAAACACTCCACAGCTTGCGTCCACCACTTGACCGTGCAAGGACTTGGCCGGAGCCCACCCCAGGAAGCCCTGTGTGTGACTCAGATCAGAGAGGCCGTCCTCTTGGCTCTGAGCGTGAAGGTGGAGCGAGAGTTCAAGAGCAGGGCCAGGAAGTGGCGGATGGAGCCAGCACGAGCTATTCCTGTGGACTGGGGAGGCTTATCTGGCCTCTTGCTGTCCATTGTTAGGGGCAGAAAGAGGGGCTCCGCCTTCCTTAGGGTCCCGGTCAGTGTTTGTCAAACAGGAGCGTTTCCCTGAGCCGAGGACCACACACCTCAAAAAACAAACTGCACTTTATTAAACCCATGTGTTTGTGAATAGACAAAGCTAGATTCATACAGCCACCCACATATTCTGTCAAATGAAACTGCTCCAAAGGCCGAGCAGACAGCTTTCCATAATAATATGCCTTTGTATAGTGGCTTGGGCTTTTTCAAAGAACTTACACAGGCTTTGTTTTATTGGAGCCCCTCTTGTGCGAGGAGCCAGGAGAGCGGACCTCGCTCCCGCTCACCAGTGGGAGAACGGGGGAAGCTGAATCCTTCTCTCTAAATTATTTTGTCCCCGAAAGTCACCATTAGTGAGAGTTGCTGTACACACAAATTTAAAATGCTATAATTATGCTAACCCCAGATGTTGTTTGGTTTCCTTTTCCATATGCACACGGGGAAGGGCAGGCTAAGGTTTTTAAATCACAGCATTCTGTTCTGTTTCATGCAGACTTGCCTGCCTTCCCTCTCTCGATCCTGGCAAGAGGGAGAGGAATGTGTGCCCAATTTTGGGGTGAAGGTTGACTTTTCTTATAATGTCAAGGGGAGGGGGATGGGGGCTGTGGTCAGTCAGAAGCTCCGAGGTGACGAAACGCGTAATGCAATCCAGAGACACTGAGCAGGAGCTCAGTCTGTGTTGAAGGCCAGAGGCGTCTCCGTCCCCTTCCAGTTTGCTGGTTGTCTTCCTGAGTGGTCGGCGAGCACTAGCGCCCAGGCAGTGGGCGACAGGGGGCCCGGAGTTAGCAGAGGGTCCCAGGGAGCCGGCCCCATTTCATCGATGCCTGTGTGTGCCCAGCATGGCTTCATCAAGGTTTCTGATGGGCACCGGGGCCAAGAGAGAGGGCTGTCAGATCAGACAGACGTGGGGCTTGAAAGCCAGACCCCACTGCTCGGTGTACTTGATTCAACCTTGCCAGCCTAGGTTTTCTCTTCCCTTAAAGCAGCTGCCCAGTGCTAACGGGCATTCACATATCGTTTATGCAAAGAGATCTCTCTGGCATGTAGCAAGGTATCAGTCAGTAGGGGCCACAAATGCCTGCAGGGTGGGTGCCCTCATTTGAAAAGAGCCAGAGTTCCCGGAGGGCCGGTGACTTGCTGCAGCTTCTCAGCCAGCACGCAGAAAGCAGGTTCGAACCCAGGTCTCCAGGCCCATCGTTCCCACTGCACAGCGCTCGCACTTTCCCCTCGAGTCTACAGACCCACGTCAGTCTGCCCCGAGGGGCGGCGTCTCTCTCCTGCCCCTCGCCTACACCTCACCCCCATCCTACTCAGACTCTCTCCAGTGTCTGCGTACTTCCCCACAGTACGGGGGGCTGACGTGGGGACCTTCACAGGGCAGACATGTTTTTTTTTCTCCAAGAGCCAGTCCCTCTTTTGGAGAAAATAAAGCAGTTTGAGAAAAGTAACAAAGGCGGCATTTGTGTATTTTGCTTTATGGAGCTGAAAATATCTGGTAAATTGATCCAGTGGGAGTAATAAATACACATTACTTTATCTTGTTCTTCATGTCCTATACCCCTGAGCCTTGATGGGACAACAGCACTTAATAGACTTAAAAAAGAGTAATTATACTCATTGGTGGTGTGATTTTTCAGCCCTCCCAGCCCTGCCTGACCTTCTAATTTAGCTCGCCGTGTCTAACTAATGCATTTATATTCATCTTTTATGAAGCATGTATAGTACAGAATTGACTTGAGTGCCTTTTGCAAGCTGTCCTCCTAGGTCCCCAGTCTGGTTAGTAGTGAGGAGCGGGCGCTGTTCATCTCTGTACGTCCGCACGTATGGATAACGCTCGTACCTGGCTCACGGCACTTCTTCATCCTTTATGAAACATAATAAAAAGTATTTATTATATTTTTACTTTAAAGCTTTTATACATTCTAGCATTATTTACAGCTAAACATGCAGGAAAAAGATGCGAGTGTTTTTAAAATGATTACCGTTAATGTTTCTGCTTGTCAGAAGTGCTTAAATTTTCCTGCACTTTGTCTAAAAACTTAGTACTGTTGCCTTTTAAGAACAACACATTTAAAAGATCCTGCAAGTCAGATTTGCAAACACTGCTGACAGTTTGTGATGAATGATATTGCAAAATTTGCAAGATGTTTGTCATTTCGCACAGCCGAAATATTAAGGAATGGATTAAGAAATGCGAACCCCCGCCCCC